ACAAGTGTTGGACGAAATACACACAACCAAGGAGGAGGTGACTGCCAAGCGACCTTGAAACCTCAAAGGCGGTGGGACCAGACATCTCTCCATGGGTCCTTAGAGAGGGAGCAGAAATGCTGTGTGTGCCACTAACCACAATTTTCAACACATCCATTGAAACTGGTCAACCACTTGAGGTATGGAAGAAGGCAAAAGTAGTCCCATTTTTAAGAAAGGAGACAGAAACAAGGCACTAAACTATAGACCAGTGTCACTGATGTGTATAGTATGCAAAGTCATGGAGAAGATTATCAGGAGGAAAGTGGTGGAGCACCTGGAACAGAACAGTATTATAAACGACAACCAGCACAGATTCATGGAAGGCAAATCCTGTGTTACAAACCTACTACGGAAGTAAGACATGAGAGAGAGGGGTGAGTAGATTGCATTTTCTTGAACTGCAAGAAGGCCTTTGACACAGCTCCTCACAAGAGATTAGTGCAAAAGCTAGAGGATCAGGCCAGTGTAACAGGAAGGGCACTGCAATGGATCAGAGAATACCTGACAGGAAGGCAACAACAAGTCATGGTACATGATGAGGTATCAAAGATTCACAGTGGGTGCCTGTGACAAATGGGGTTCCATAAGGGTCAGTCCTAGGACCAGTGCTATTTTTGGTATATGTGAATAACATGATGGAAGGGATAGTCAGAAGTAGCCCAGTTTGCAGATGATGTGAAGTTAATGAGGAGAATTAAATCAGATGAGGATCAGGCTGGACTACAAAGAAATCTGGACAGGATGGACACATGGTCCAGTGACTGGTTCCTCGAATTTAACCCCACCAAATGCAAAGCCATGAAGCTTGGGGAAGGACAAAGAAGACTGCAGACAGAGTAAATGTAGCATTTACTTCTTTTACAACCCCATCTATAAATATGTTAAACAACCATGGTGACATTACACATCCCTGTCTGAGACCTACTTTTACTGGGGAGTAATCTCCCTCTCTCCTACACACCCTAACCTGAGCTTCACTATCCTCGGAAAAATACTTTACAGCATTTAGTAACTGAGATAAATAATATATTTATGTAGGTTACAAAAGCTAGGGAGTAGTTAAGATTAACATGGAGTGTAGTGTGCCTGAGTAAGGATGATATACAGTGGTACCTCAGTATACATTATTATTATTATAATCAAAAAGAAGCGCTAAGCCACAAGGACTATACAGCACCTCAGTATACAGCCTCTCCTCATTTAACGATGGAGTTGGGGAGAGGGGTGGGATTAAATTATGGGGAATCAAATACAGTGGACCCCCGGTTAACGAACTTTTTTCATTCCATACTATGTTCAGGTGCGTATGACCGATTTTCCCATAAAGAATATGTTGAAGTAGATTAGTCAATTTCAGACCCCAGATTAACGTACAAAGCACTTCATAAATACACTACATAATTGTGATTGAGGTGATCGTTATGGGGGTCACTGACAATGGGAGTTAACAGTTACTTTGCAGATGATACAGCTTTGGGGAGATTCTAAAGAAAGTGCAAAGAAGTGGTGATAATGGAGGGTGTGAAAGGTAGAAGTTGGAAGATGAACATGATAGGTCAGGTGATAGGGTATCATCACTTAGATAAAGAAAAATGGTTATGAACACGAGGAGAATGGAAGAGAATGTGTTCGATTTAGAGTGATTGTCAGCAGATGGTTTATGGATAAAGTAACAGAGGAAGAAAAAGGTGAGTGGTGCATTGAGGTATCTGTGGAGACAAAAAATGTTATCCTTGGAGACAAAGAAGGGAATGTATGAAAGTATAATGATATCAACACTCTTATATGGATATGAAGCATGGGTTGTAAATGCTGCAGCAAGGAGGAGACTGGAGGCCGTGAAAATGTGTCTAATGGCTATGTGTGGTGTAAATATTATGCAGAGAATTCGTAATGTGGAAATTAGGTGGAGGTGTGGAGTTACTAAAAGTATTAGTCAGAGGAGTGAAGAGGGTTTGTTGAGGTGGTTTGGTCATTTAGAGAGAATGGAACGAAGTAGAATGACTTGGAGAGAATACAAATCATTAGGGGAAGGAAGGTGTGGTAGGGGCCATCCTCGAAAATGCTGGGAGGGGGTAAAGAAGGTCTTGTGGGCGAGGGGGCTTGAACTTCCAGCAAACGTGGGTGTGTGTTAGATAGGAGTGAATGGAGATGAATGTTTTTTGGGGGGACCTAATGAGCTGTTGGAGTGTGAGAAGGGTAATATTTTGTAAAGGGATTCAGTAAAACCAGTTAGCCAGACTTGAGCCCTGGAAATGGGAAGTACAATACATGCACTTTAAAGGAGGGAGCTGGGATATTGGCTGTTTGGAAGGATGCTTAAACTGTCATATATGAGTGCCTCTGCAGATGGTGATTATGTATGAGTGATGGTGAAAGTGTTGAATGATGAAAGTTTTTTTCTGGCTTTTTGGGTTTTACTTTCTTTTTGAGTTTTCTTTCTTTCTGAGTTTTTCTTTCTTTTTGGGTCACCCTGCCTCAGTGGAAAATGGCCAACTTGTTAAAAAAAAATAAATATGTCCATCCTGATTTTTAAGGTCTAGAATTAATCTGCCCAAAATGTTTTGCATAATTATGGGTGTGTTAAAAATATTTATAAAATGTAAGCCATGCATATTATAAGAGCCAACTAAAATGCTGGGAGCAAGAGGCTAGTAACCCCTTCTCCTGTATAAATTACTAAATGTACAAAGAAAAACTTTTTTTTTCTAAGTCATGCTCTTCATGTTACCTTCTAAGGGTTAACAGAGGAGCGGGGGTGTAAAAATCTCAGGGAGGGGAGTAAAAATCTGGGGTAGAAGGTAGGAGGGGTAGAGGTCATCCAAGAAATGACTGGAAGGGAAAAAAAAAAAAAAAGTTTTAGGAGCACTGAGTATCCAGCAGGCTTGTGTGAGCATGTTAGATAGGGGTGAATGGAAACAAATGCTTTTTAATGGGTGTGCTATTGTGATGTGAGCAACGTAACTTTTACAAAAGAATTCATGGGAAACCAGTTAGCTGGACCTCGAGTCCAGAAAGTGGCAGGGGCATTGCCTGCACTCTGAAGGAAGGATGGGGATGTTAGTCACAGGGTAATCTGAATTGTGATACCAGCATGCTCACAGAGTCAATCACAAAGTATCTAGCTCTGAAGGGAAAGAGGGTGCACCAGATTTTTTTAAAATCTCAGATAATGATCATTTCTTTATATCACTCCTCACGAAACATTCCTTGATATCAGTGAGGGGTTCTTGATAACTTTTTTTAGCATTAATTATTTAGGTGTTTAGTATGTTAGCTAAGGAAGAGAAAAAAAAGGAAAGGACAGATATAAAAAAGGCTAAGTGGGTGATAAAACCAACTAATGGCTGACAAACGCAAACTATTTTTTTTAGCAATGTCTCTTTAAATATTATGGTATTCTAAACTGATTTATAGCCACTCATGAGTAACGCTAGCATTTTTGAAGAAAATTCCTTTGTTTTCAATTTGAGAGCTTTGTGTCAAGTCAGAAAAAAAACGGACACCCAGCTTGATGTTGTACATCACCTTAACCCTTTGAGGGTCGGTCACATACAGGTATGTCATAACAGCCAGGGTCGGTCATATACTAATACGCGTAAACTCTAGCGCCTTCAGATCGAGTGGGAGAAAGCTGGTAGGCCTACATGTGAGAGAATGGGTCTGTGTGGTGGTGTGCACAGTAGAAAAAAAATCGAGGCACCCACATTGCATTGTGGGAATGCCATTTCAGCACACCTTGTTTACCATGCCTCACGGTAAGAAACCCCTCACTTCCCAGCGAACTGGGAATCATATTGTCCCAAGTGACAGTTCTAACACAGATGAAAGTGTCAGTGAAGATGAATTTCATGGTTCTGAGGAGTTTGTGACCGAAAGCAATGCCCAGGAAACCAGAACGAAGGAAGAGATGAGAGTAAGGAAGGAGGGAAGGCAGGTAGGAAGGAAGGGGGGAAGGAAGGAAGGTAGGAAGGACGACCCAGGATAACCCAAAAAAGTCAGACAGTGACTTATTTCCATGTGGGTTGTGGGGCTGAGAGGAAGGCACGTTTGTTGTGGAAGTCACTGAGGGTAGCGAGTGGTGGTAATGCCTCATTGTGACACAAGTCCACCCACACACAACACCAAGCGTCCAGAAGCTTTAGCTGTTCTAGTAACGTGTCCATTGACTCTATATGTGTATATATATGATAGAAAAATAGTAATAAACAACATTTTTTATTGTTGGTTTGTGTAAACATGTTTTGTAAACAATGTAATGACAATATTTGTGTGGTTATTGTGTAGCATGCAACGAGTAAATGTATACAAAATATGGCTTATATTGGTCTCACAGGCCATAAAAGTTACTTGAAAAAATAAAATGTTAAAAAATAAAATGAAAAAGTAGAAAAAAAATAAATGATTACCGCCTGACCAGCAGTCGGCGATGTTGCCATAAGCGGCTCACATGCTGTCAACTTCATGCCTCTATATCTCAGTAAGTATTGATCGCAAATTTTTTTTATTAAAACACTAACAAAAATAATCTTAAGATTTTGGTAAGAAAAATAATTTTTTTTTTTCAAATATTTTTTGATCCCCCAGTGGTGGTTCAGGATCGAGGCTCTCAACCCCCAAAGGGTTAAATATCACTCTAAATTGATTTCTATTAACAGTGATAGGAAAGGCCTTCAAGAAGAAAACAAATATGGAAATCCGATAGACATATTTTGAACAAAATTCTATGGTTCATTTTCAAATTAGTGTCATGCATCAAGCCAAAAGAAAATGAACATGCAGTCAGACAAAACTGAGTTGGGTTGATACAACAGTACCAGGGGTGGAGGGAGGGAAGAAAGAATAGCAGGGAGATATGTATTCACAGCTACACTTGATTTATTAATATATCTTAACATATCAATTACATGGTTTATGTATTGACATTCATAAGAAATGCTAAACAGAAAGGAAACAGATTAGACAATGGGAAATTTATTGTGTATATTTTGAACAAAATTCTATGGTTAGTTTCAAAAATAGTCTTACAGAAATAAACTGAAAGCCACAATAGCTATGGTAGGCCAGCAGGAGCTTAACCAGACAACAGGTTATTGTTTTTAAACCCATGTCTTAAAACAAACTGCTGTTTCATGATGAGGAAAAAAACTTGGACAATTCGATACAGTATAGATATAGGTGAAAGCCAAATACAGTAAGACCCCCATATCCATGAGGGATACATTCCAAGGATGTGCTGTGGATACCCAAACAGTAGATAGTAGAAAACCCTATATACAAGTCCTATACATACCTATTATAAAGTTTAATTGATAAATTATCCACAATAAGTGAAGAATTATCACTTTTTCATTGATGGGAAGCCCTTCACGGCTTCTCTTAGTCTTTGAAGAACTGCCAGCTTCTCTATTTTTATGCTTTGTGCAAAATTGAGGTATTTTTGGGCCACAGTAAACCATGGGTAACTGAAACTGCAGATACTGAATCAGTGGATACAGGGGTTCTACTGTAATAGAACAAAGGTTAATGGGTGATCAAATATACAATATTATTGCAAAAAAATGCCCTATGAACATTTTTTTATTATTAAAAATTAGTCTCTGGGCATGCCTTGTATGATTTTAGTTGCTATAGAGTTAACAAGGTATATTATAACATTAGCAACCTTGCTTCTAAAAGAATTACTGCAGAACCCCAAGTTTTCGTCCCTCTAATAAATTCCTGAAGGTCAAAATCAAAATGGGACAAAATACTGAAGTAATATTTACCCCATTAATAAAATAATTGTATATCAATTAATCATTCCAGACACCTAAAAAAATATTAACAAAAAATACATTATATAGAGGAATAAACTATAGTTTTACATACAGAATAACAATGAGAATATATTAAAAGACATTAAATGACTAATTTTTAATGGATAAATGACAACATTTAATCACTATACCATGCTTTATTGAAGACTTGCTACGGCAGTATGGAAGATAAGGGGAGTGGGAAGGAGAGGTTATTGTTTGGATACAGTGGACCCCCAAATTTTCATGATCCCCGACTCTTCGTTGTATTTCAACTTGCGGCAACTTTTTTTGTGAAATATAACCTCGAATTTTTTGAGGTTGCCTCAATTAATGGCAGTAATACGTAATGCGTCCAAGCAGCCTCCAGCAGCAAGTTTGCACCACTATGCTCCCACATATACACCATTCATGTCATTTGTGGCATTGTTTCTTTGTGAGTGTCATCACCCACACATTTCCCGTTTAATTCGTATTATCCATTGTTTTTTGTGCTTGCAACTGCTAAATAAGTCACTTGGGCCAAAAGAATGCTTTAGTGCCAGCCCCTGTTAAGAGGTGTGATAACCAGACAGCAATTCAAGAAACGATACACTCCAGCCAGGGTACTTTCCGCACACACACCAGCAAGGGTACTTCGCACACAAACAGCCAGGGTTACTTACCCACACACACCAGCCAGGGTACTTCCGCACACACACCAGCCAGGGGTACTTCCCACACACACAAGCCAGGGTTATCCCCATACACTCACCAGCCAGAGGTACATTCATACTCATTATAGTTTATTTGAACTATGTACATAGATGTAAAGGATTATAGTAGTTGGGTGTACATGCCAAAAGCCCCTTGTATGTAGAGCATTATGGGCAGGCTTAAAATTAACTTAAATTAAACTAAGGCATGAAAGGTTACGTGGTTAAAAATTACTGTATAAACAAGTTACAATATGAAGTACAAATTGAGTACATATTTGAAACAATGAAAATTTGAACATTTGATTTTGAAGATTATAGTATGTTACACAGAGATGCAGTTATGATATATATGTCTTTCATATTTGTTCATCTTTCTAATATTACATTGCGATTACCATCGTTAAATGCTAAAACGAGAGTAAACAGCTTTATAATAATAAATATTCAATTTCATCTTTCCCATTTTTCATTTTGTGTATGCTATATACACCTACCATCCGCTTTACGACCTGCTCGACTTAGACCACTCGACTTACGACCGTGTTTTTTATGCCAAATTTCTGGGAAATAAACAGCTATTTATGTTGTACATAGTGTTCATCCTAAACCTTACAGTATAAAATACAGTACTAACAACATAAAAAGTAAAGTAAAATGAAATACAAAATAAAACAATAAATAAAGTCATTAAAAATTGTTTTGTTGATATTCGTGTTAAAGTTCGAGACATTACGAACTATTTCAGCATTACGAACCCTGGTTTCTCGGAAACGAATCGGTCGTAAGTCGAATGGTAGATGTATTTTATTCTGGTGTGGAATTGGGTTAATAGACCAGTTTGTTTGGCCTCGCTCTACACCACTCGCTGATGGAGCTGTACGTCAGGTATTGAAATGGGTGGTAGATTAAGGCAGTACAGAACTCTCTCGGTTCAGAGAGGGTCTCCCACAGCTTACTCATTTTTAACCTAAGAGGGTTGTTTTGAAGCTTTTGGACTGAGCTAATTCGCTTAAGTCACCAGGTAATTGTGAAATTTTCATTATACAGAAGTTATCTGTGTGTGAGACCTTCAAGTTTTCTAAGCCATCAGCCTTATCTCCTTAGAAAATTAAAGAATAATGTATCTTTTTGTCAAATGGAATTTTACGGTTATTAATAGAATGAAAGTCTTCTTAATTTATAAGTTGGTATATCAAGTCTGTTTATATATAATTAAGAATAAGGTACAACAAAACATACTTTGTCCTATAACAATATCTACTTTATTTTAAAGATACATTGTAAAAAAATATATGATCTCCTTACAACCTTATTACGATTATAACTAGAGATATTTTCTCATCAAAAAAAGTCCATAGACTAACAAGCCAAGGTTTTAAAACCCCAAGTTTATCGTAATTATAGTAGTGCAAATTTGTCACATTACAATGTATAACAAAAATATGGGACAAGTTACTGCATGTCGTCTTGAAGTTTTAAGGATTTAAGTTACCTGGGGAGATCTATGGTAATGTTAAATTACTGAGTGTGATTATTTTGTCTGGGATGAGTAAGTGGTTTTTTAGACGAACGTCTTAAATTGATTTTCAGCTGGTTACTTTTAGTTGTTCTGGTAATAAATTCCAGATTTTGGGGCCCTTTATGTACATAGTTTTTACACAGTGTGATATGGACACTGGGTACATCAAAAAGAGGAGATTCTGTCTTGTGTTACGTCATGGTGTCCTGTTCAGGGTTAGTGAGGAGAGTATGGAGTGAGAGGATTTTATGTTTGCGTGTTTTGTATTGTTCTATGTATGTAGTAGGCCATGAAAAATAGTGTGGATGTTCTTTATGGTGTGCAAATTTCGACTTTGGGAATGATGTGGAGTATGCTGTCGGGTGTAGGAATATTTATCATTATGATTGCAGTCTTTTGCTGGCGTTATTACGACGGCCTTCCGGTGATTTGATGTTGTGGTCCCCATGCACCTACAATTCCATATGTGAGATTTAAGGGTAGATGAGTGTAATGATTACTGTGCAAGGAGAGTTGATTGTGGAAACCATAGTACCATACTTGTTAGTATGCTACTGCCTTGAGATTTTCTTGGAAATTTGTTGTATGTGTGTCTGGAATTTCAGGTCTGTCTAGGTGGATCCTAGGTATTTTCCCTCGTGAGTCTTGTGATGCAAATGTTAAGAGAACTAATTTGCAGACTCTGGTTCCAAATTGAAAGAAAACAGGGATACAGGTTAGAGCGACTTCGTTTCCCAACTCAGGTAATACTTCATCTACTTTACTAATTGTCAAAGCTTGGACTCCTTGAAACTTCAAAACGTGCTGGCAGATAGCCGTAATGGGAGTGCCATACGATAGATATTTACAGCCAATACCGTAGGGCAATAATTAGAAACAAATTGTTTCAGGGCCTATAACCATTATTTAGAGGCAGATTCTGATCTCTGAAGTTTAGTTTCTCAAGTAAGCTACCAGTCGAGATTCGACTGTATTGCTGAACAATTTCAAAGAGTATTGATCTTGAAATTGAATCCAGACAGAATCGGGTCCCGTTTGGCCTTAGTAAAGTAGATGAAGTAATACCTGAGTTGGTAAAGGAAGTCGCTCGTTCCTGGTATCCCTCTCTTGCCAAGAACTGTGTTTCCTTAAATGCCTTTCTTATTACAATAAGTGCTGTTCACCTCACCAGTTTTGCCTTAGTGGTTTTGAACTTTTTCCTAGAGGTTAGATTAAATTTATGATTAATGGGCTTGGAGGATCATAGGGAGGTCAGGTATGGATTATGTAAGCGACGATCTCTGTAAGATTGGATCGTCATTTCCTTACCTGGAGTTTTCTGGAGAGAGTCCGGGGGTCCAACGCCCCCGCGGCCCGGTCTGTGACTAACAGGCCTGGTGGATCAGAGCCTGATCAACCAGGCTGTTGTGCTGGCTGCATTGCAAAACCAACGTACGAGCACAGCCCGGCTGATCCGGAACTGACTTTCAGGAGCTTGTCCTGTTGCCAGCGTGAGACTGGCTGGGGTATGTTGGTAATCCCCCTTTTGTGTGCTGGGAGGCAGTTGAACATATCCAGGGCCACTGCCCGACACTTCATTGTATGGTTCCTTAAAACGTGCTAGTGACACACTGGCTTTTCATTGGGGGATGGAGCATCGTCTGCCAAGTCTTTTGCTTTCGTAGTGAGCTGTTTTCGTGTGCAAGTTCGGTACTAGTCCCTCTAGGATTTTCAAGGTGTACATAATCTGTGCTCTCTCCCTCTGCGTTCCAGGGATACAGGTTTTAAGAACCTCAAGCGCTCCCAATAATTGAGGTGTTTTATCTACGTTATGCGCGCGTTGAAAGTTCTCTGTACATTTCTAGGTCGGCAATTTCACCTGCCTTCTTGAAAGGTGCTGTTAGTGTTGCAGCCAATATTCCAGCCTTGATAGAACAAGTGACCTGAAGAGTGTCATCATGGGCTTGGCCCTCCCTAGTTTTGAAGGTTCTCATTATACATCCTGTCATTTTTCTAGCAGATGCGATTGATACAATGTTGGTCCTGGAAGGTGAGATCCTCCGACACATGATCACTCCCAGGTCTTTTGACGTTGGTGTTCGCTCTATTTTTTGAGGCCTGAATTTGTTTTGTACTCTGATGAAGATTAATTTTCCTCATGTTTTAGCTATCTGAGTAATTGAAATTTTCATCGTTGGAACTTCATATTGTTTTCAGCAGCACACTGAAAGTTTTGGTTGATGCTCCGCCTGGAGCTTTGCAGTGTCTGCAATGGAAGACAATGTCATGCAGAGATTTCGGGGGGGTCATCTGCAAGGAAGACACGGTGCTGTGGCGACATCCTTGTCTATGTCGGTTATGAGGATGGACAAGATGGGAGCGAGTATGTGCCTTGTGGAACAGAGCTTATCACCGTAGCTGCCTCGGACTGTTCTTGTGACGATCTAGCTCTCGTGTTCTGTTAGTGAGAATATCTA